TCAAACATGAAAGTCACAAGTCCACCCGTGCAATCTAAGCACAAGAAATGCTAGATTTGTCCCCGACAGTGTATTCACCATGCGGTCCAGCGTACGCGCCGTGTTAAGACTTTACGCGATGGCACAGTGAACACACGTGTTTCCGCGTAAACGCATGGCTGCATGACCTTTCGAAAGGTCTTCCGCCAAATCTAGTGGCCTGGTTGTCTCAGCCAAAGGCACACGTGTCTGTCCCGACGACAATGCAGCCAGACGGCGGGGGACAAACTGTAAGACGCTATGTCTCCCGAAGTATGAGGTGACGGTGGGGGGTTTGGGGTCGGGGGGGGGGGTTGGGCGACTGTAATCGCTATGTCTCCCGAAGTATCCTCGAACTCCCCTCGTTCTTCAACCTCATGGTTTGTGACTGAGGTCCATGAGAAAGACCCATGGAGTAGACTCTTTCAACCACGTGGGGACTAGTATTGCTACACAACCTACACGTCGATCCTATTTATTACACTATAAAGACACGTCATTATCCAAAAAAAGAGCGAGACCGATTAACGTCTCCGAGTGCAAGGCGGTAACACACAAAAAAAACCTCTTTTTTTACTTTTTCTAGTCAATTTACTGCAAAAAAGGGCCAATATACCTATTTTTATAAGTATATAATAATTTAAATTCCAAGGAATCTGCAACAAAGGACGTTTACTGCGGCTAAAGCCCTGGGCCTTGGCCTCAGGCACCCGAAACCACACCACAATAAGTTTACATTTTGTTATTAATTACATTACCCACTTTTAGCAACACAGGTATTAGCGCGTCGTAAACAAATAGAGAATACAATTCACGATTGAGTAACAAATGAAACTAGAAAAAGAAAAAACTTAAGATGAGGAAATAGAAGTTAAGTTCTTTCCATATTTGGGCCCCATTAAACAAGAGGGCACGTAACATAACTCCACATAGAAGGACGTCTAACGACGTAATTCTACACTTTATCTCTGTTTGTGTAACTTGAGTCGAAATTCAAAAGGACACGCTCAAGTTATAAGTACATAACATACCATAAATTCCACTTGAGTTGTAGTCTCTACTCTATAAACTATCAACCACGAACTCATGCTAGACTTACTTATTCCAACATAGACGTTAGACTGATTACTTACCTTTGCATCCCCTTATTTCATACTAAAAGGAGGGAAGGAGCATCTTTCCATTAGCGAGCTCAGACCATTCAGATCAACTCATAATCCTCAGAAAATGACCGAAGATACTAGATAGCACAGTTACTACTACAACTAAGGACGTTCAAAAGTTAGGCTAATACACAGCGACACTTCAACCCAACAATCCGCTTCCGCTCCATCCACGTCCCTCATAACCTACCCCCCCACCCGATCAATCTCACTTACATGTGACCGCCACGATCGACTCCCTACGGAGAGTCCTGTCACTAATGGTCTGTAGATAGTTATACACAATATCGAGGTGTAATTTGACAGTAAAACTGTGTAAAGAATATGATAGCCCCCGACTCGTATAGCCATGTGGCTGCAAGCGACAGCCAACGAGATTCCACTATGGGGAGGACTGAGACAACAGCCCATCTATCCATGGTGAGCCTCACAACGACACGGACACGAAGTGGCTTACTGTAGGATCCAAACAGCAATATTAAGCGTCGACGCAAAAGACAGCATCACACTTGCCACCGTACTATAGTAGATCCTTATACACGTGCAAAGGAGTCGGTTCTGCTAGGTAGTGCGCCCTTAGATTTAGAGGTTGTTTGTGTAGTTCCTAGCGTATCACCATCATTTGTTACACTTTGTAATTTGTATTTGTTCGCCACATGTTTGAGTGTATGGACGCAAACTACCTGTGTATTTTCCTTGCAAGACATCTCTCTATCGTGGTGCCGAGTGCAATCAATAATCTCGAGTCATATAGCGATACACCACGGTATACTACGAGATTACATATATCATAGTCTAATTTCTGTCTATATCGGTGTCCGTGACGGTTACTTTCGAACGTACAACTGACCCATTGTAATAAGCGCGAGCATTAGGTAACACATTTAGTTACATCTCACACTCCATTCGTGTTGTGTGGGTCTTGCACATGAACAGATTGATACCATTAAATAAGTCAGAATCTAAAACTAGTAAAACTACCGATTGGACTAGTTAACCTAGTGTGATCTTGGCAATGAGAGTTTTGGCTGAGCGAGTACACACATCAATTAAGGTATCAACCTTAATAACTCACCAGCACGGACAGTGTTAGGTAAGCGAGCACACCCTATGTTAGGTAACGTCGAGTGAGTTCATATCACGATACCGGGTGCAGACAAAATCCATTTAGTCGGTACACACACTCACTAAGCACGTAAGTTAAATTGGCGGCCGTAAACAGTGGCATTGGACTATTCCAGGACTTAACGTGCTATAAAAAAAATATTCTCCCACAGCATCACCACTTCACGACAGATTTAATCAAAACGCGCCTGAGCAAGGCAGGCTCCTCTCGACAGGCCATAACTTTATTACATACACTTCCACCTTACAACCACAATCCTTAGAAATGCGATGAAATTACCTCGGCTCACCCCCGATCTATACAAACATGCCGCGAGCCATGGAGTAGATGGAACTACGATGGATTTCACTCGAGACGCGCTATTCCCAACAACCCCATATATACAGCACACAAACATCACAACTGTAACGCGAATCGAAAAATCCTCATAGGAGTATTTCGGTTACCCGAATCGGGTGGGTCAGCTTTTTTTCTACATAAACATAACATTTTCTTTTCAGTGCGGATAGAAAACTGACCGCGCGACCTAAAGCAACATATTTGACACATGTCTGATCCTCAAACAATATTTCTACTAAAGTCTTGGTGAACAGACCTTATATGGCTATCATTAACGAACATATCTTGAAAGAAACGCGAAAACTCCTATTTAGTAAAGAACAAGACACAATTCCCTAATAGCATTCCGAAAGATGAAATACCTGCTAGATTACCACTAATACACACAGAAAAGCCAACCGCGCGTTAAGCTACTATGAAAAGCTCCATTGGCACGCCACTCACAACCGTCCTTCAACCCAGAAAAACCGTTGAATCAAGTAATACGGCCTGCCGCTGCAAGGTACGTATCGCATCTACATATATACATATGTTTATCTAGTTTTATAACGACATTATTTATGTTGTCTCATCTATTAGATATCTGATAAATGCTCACTCCCACCTTCATTCATTGTCTTAAAGTGTATCGACAATAACTTAATCCTCATTCATCGGTGTCAAAACTAATCAAACATATCGAAGAAACCGTCGAAACGCGAACCGCGAATTCAAACACCGACTTAAAACTGTGTCGTAGGACTTGATTACATAATAATTCATCGGATAGATATCTATAAGTAGGTCCCCTTGAGGGCACAACAATTGCATACAATTTACCTATATAGGCGGAAATCACACATACGACACAGTAAAGGTTGTTGTTAACACATCACATATAATTTCATTCTACCGTAAAATAACACTCGTATCAACTGGAGCGGTTACAACCACTTACAAATATCCAGACAAAGCAGCTTCACAAACAACAAAAATAAAGGTCAATAGCTAAATTAATCTGCAATAAATCGACATCTCGTCACTAAACATATCACATTTTATACAATTACACATTCTGGGAATATATGTTATAGGTACTATATACCTTCATCTATCAACCAAAACTATGTTGTATGCGGACACACAAATTTAAGTAACCGTCCTTTCGTATTATATTAATTTTCAACACATTCATGAAAAGTCCGAATTATAAACCGTACTAATCTTATGGGGGATATCAAAAATACAAGAAAAACTTAACATAGGGCTGGAAATAAGAGAACACGAATCACAAAAAGTAACAGAAACTTCATGTCCAGATTTATATCAAAAAACAAAAACGTTCGTGTAGAGGAGGATGGAAGAACTATATATTATAGTAATAGCATGTAAGGACGACCTGATAACTATTAGACCCAATAACATCACTAAGAATACTGAGAGTATCATAGAGACTAGAGAACAGAAAGTATTCGCAGATATAAAGATAGTGCTGGACCGATGAAAGGTCAACAAAAACGTAAATCAAAACAAGTGGCGCTAGGTAGCCCACAACGCTAACATGGCTTACCTTGGTTTTGTCTGGTCAAAACTGGTCTTCACTGGCATTAAGACGATAACAACGATGATGTAGTTAATCCATAGGTTAATATCCAATGTGGCTGTGTCCCCTTTGAAATGTTCTGATAATCTATAAGCAATAAAACTGCAATTCCGTTTTAAAATAGTAGAGCACGCCATTCTTACGGTCTGTAGCTTCATTGAATGCGCGAAGACGCAATCTTTTTTTTAACATGAGTGTGTGCGGGACGATTTCCCTTCGATTTTATTGGCTCTTACGGTCAGAAAGAGATGTCACATGTCAAAATCGAAGAAGGGGGGCCAGAGATAAGGAAAATCCACCCAAATGGCCCCAGAAGATGTTTTTTTTGCTAAATCTGTCTAAAAAGGTCAAATATCACTTGTTTTGCATCAATCTTGATACAGGGTACTTATTATATGTTGTACGTTGGATTCCTAAAGCTTTTAGTTCACTAACCCATCATCCAAGGTTAGTTTTCACTATAAGTACAAAATATCTTTTGGAAGGACACTATCATTTATAGTTTTTTAACATGTTCAATCTGAATTTTCTTTAAAATAAAAAACATGATTGATGATGTTGATTCTGACTCTTTTACATCCAACTCACAGGTTTATCATTACTTTGAGAAAAAAGATTATTAATTTAACCCTTTTAGAAGGGAAGATATGGTCATTTGTTCTGGGAATGTCATTTTCAAGCCTGAAACCTGAAAAACATGCTTGGGGCTTAAGAGGTTTTAATTAATTAATTAAATTTGTATTACCAAGGAACCTTTGCAAACAACTTTGGGTGAACATGATGCACCTCCAAGAAGATTTTTGAGTTTACACTTGATCCTAAATTTGGCAAATATTTCAAATTAATAGGACGGATGAAAGCAAGAAAGTGAACTGAAGAATGGGAAAGACACAAAGGTGAATATATTGCAATGAAAGTTCCACGAGGCTAAAATCTGACACAACACATTGTCGTTATATAGCAATGTTGTTGGTATTTAGACCAAGGCGCACCATGTTCTTCTGAATGTATAGGCCATGAAGCAATGAAAGGGTCACGTTTAAAAGAAAAATAAATACAAGGTTTTCATCTAGGTCAATGTCCTTCTGGGTCAGTTAAGCAAAAAGGAAACAACCACAACAATGTATTACAAATAGCCATTGGAAAGGTTAATTTTATATCAGTTGAGATTGGCCTAGAAATAAGACATGTGACAAATTAGGGTTAGGGTTTCCAATGGGGATAATGCGTGGCAGCTCCGGAGATCGACATCTGGTTAGAGTTTGTAGGGACTCAAACGGCAGCAAAAATAACTTTCCTGAACCTGAGAGGGGGGCTGTGTTTGTCAGGAAGAATTGATACTGGACAAAGCACTTGCATTTGTGGCTAATACAAATAGGAAAGTAAAAAAAGTTCAGCACCGCAAATTGCCTTTATCTAAACTGCTATATATCTTTCATTGGGAAAGCATTGGTTGTTTAATTGCTAAAATTCCTTTCTAACTATAGACAGGTGTTTATCTCTGTGAACGCACTTTCACAACCTTTCAAAACCTGCATGCTGTAGTAGACTCCAAATAATATGACCTATTACTGTTAATTTTAGTGACATAAAACCAAACTTTTTCATTTGTTTGAACTTTCATGGGGATTGGACAATAGAAAAAGCAATTAATGTCCTTAACCGTGGATCAGAAACAAGAACAACACTTAAAATGGGGGTATATGTTTTTTAATAACTTATCTGGAAAAGCATTCCTTCCACCACTGTATGCCAACAATTATATGGAAAACTGTTACAAAATAAACAATGTTGAGCAGTTTCAACTATGTAGTATTTCTGATGAGACCAAAAATGTCAAGTAAGGCACTAAAGATTTGTTTACCATTTCTAAAATAGGACGTCTAATCTGATTGGCCAATCAAACCCAGTGTTCTCTGTGAAGGGTGGAGAACCAACAGAGATGCAATTCATTCAGCATAGCGTCTGAAGAACGATGACACCTCCAAACGTTGCTTTGCATGTCCTATGTCTGCTCTTGGCAAATGTTGGTAAGTTGTGTTTGCTATGGTCTTTTTTTAACTCTATTCTTTGACTATGCTTGCAACTTGTTTCCATGCATTTTAACACACCAGCATTACATTAATTATCTGTTTTCTTTGTCTCTTTATTTTCTCCTCAGCTTATACAACAACTTGGAAATCATCATCACATTATCATTCATATGTTGGGGAAAGTGTGACTTTGCCTTGTGCCTTCGATGACTTTAATGCTAATACAGTGATGTTTTACTGGTATAGGCAAACTCTTGGACAGAAACCAGAGCTGGTGTCTACATTCTATCGGCATAATGATAAAAAAGGAAGCTCTAATGATGGATTAAACAAACCTTCACGTTTCTCACTGGATCCAAAAGAAGGTACAAACAACTTGAAGATAACACATCTGCAAATATCAGACTCGGCTACATACTTCTGTGTGGGGAGCGATTTATATAGCTTTAAATTCGTTGATGGAATTACTGTCGATGTAAAAGAATCTGGTTTGAACATACTAGTTTCGGTCCATCAGTCAGCATCTGAGATCATCCAGCCAGGAGACTCTGTGACTCTGAACTGTACAGTACACACTGGCAGCTGTGATGGAGAACATAGTGTTTACTGGTTCAAAAACTCTGAGGACTCTCCAGGACTCCTTTACACCCGTGGAGGCAGTCAGTGTGAGAGGAAACCCAACACACAAACACACACCTGTGTGTACAACCTGCCAATGGAGAACCTGCATATTTCTCATGCTGGGACCTACTACTGTGCTGTTGCCTTATGTGGACACATACTGTTTGGAAATGGGACCAAGCTGGACTTTGAGGGTAAGTAACTTTACGGAAGAGGTGTTTTAATTTAGTGATGTTATCAAACGTCGACGATGGATTTGCATTTTCTAAGTCTTTATTAATACTGGCCATATGGACTGCACGGCTTTTTTTCATTTGTCCCACACATTTAGCCGATGTCCCGCATTTTATTGACATTTAGATTGCCCATCTAAAATGTGCCTTTTATCCAAAGGTGTTTGGAAAACAAGAAAGGGCTATCACCATAAGCTGTGTCAGATGTCAATCAATCAGCAGAGACATTTTTATTTACTTATGGGTGTAGCCGATGGAGGTCGATTACCAGGGAGTTTTTGTGAGATTTTTTTCAATTGCGCAAGGAGGTGAATACGTTTTGTAACGCCGCTTCCCCGAAACTCACCAGAAACGCCTGACCCATAAAGAAAATATTGATCTATGGATATATTCCTCCTGAAACCAAAAGAGGATTACCAAACAGATGAGGTACCAGCAGCTGATTTAATAAAAGTTGACCACACTGTGCGGCTCTCCCACAGGTCAGCAGACTGTTAGCTAGCTCTGGTCATTTTTCCAGACTCAGAGATCACAAAATAATTAAATAATATTTATGTGGGTTGTTGGCACCTGGTCACCCTAACTGGCCATAATTCTTTCCTATCGGAACTCCTCCACATAATTACAAAGTTTAGCCAAATCTAATAAAAGGATATTGTTGTTTAGGCAGTTTTGTGTTGGAATTTTGCTGGTGCTAATTCCTGGAAACATACATTACTCTCCTCTATTCCTCTATGAAGTATTTCTTTGCTGCAGCTCAGACACTAAATTATTTATATAGAAACACAAGAGATCTTTGTATTAAAAAGACTGATATTGGAAGATAAAAAGCGGATTTTGTCTCATATGTTTTAGAGTAGTTGTGCTAGCTAACACTAACCCCATAAACCTATGAACAATTTATTTTGTTTGGCATGTCGCTTCTTCGTATTTGAAAGATACATTTTGTTTAACTAAGACTGCTAAAGCCTCAAATAAGCTTAACCTAAAATTTGATTACATATAACTTACAATAAACTCCATTGGGTAAATATCTTGTTGTGGCTTGTAGGATTTTAAATGACCAATAACCTTTAAATGTACAACTAGGCCTGTAAGTATTGTGTTTTTAAAGATATACAGTTGAAAAAAATCCAATGCTACTATATCATTTAACCAACATTGAAGAAAACATCTCAAAACTCTGTAATTTCTCCTGGGGTTCGCCTCTTTACAGCTGAAGTTCTCTCTCTTGCCTTGGTGTATTTCTTGACCGGAGCTTTGGCTGCCACCATCATCCTGATAGTTTTACTGGCTATCTCAGTGTACAAGATGAACCAAAGAAACTGCCAACATTCAGGTAACAATATTTATTTGAAGCTGGAAACAAGTATTGAGTGCATATTGCATTAAAGTGACATTACTTAATTTTGTCTCATACAGAGTGCAATGCCACATTTTCAACATCTTCTACTCTCCATACAGAAGTGAGTATCATCTTTGAAATATTTGAAAGACAAACTATGTTTGCTGTTTCTAGAACTCATGTGCGCTATACAATCGTAAAGTTAACAATACAAGTTATACTTGAAAAAAGAGGTGTTGACGATATACAGCAACACTTAAAATACAAAATATGTATTTCATTTTTTAAATACACATATGACAATAAAGTAAAAAATGCAATGCCTTTCAATCATTTTGGTGTTCTTCAGTATCTCACTTAGCTTTCTATTTGCCAAATAAATTGATAAAACACCTATTTAATCCAAAGATGAATTTGACTGAAAGCATAACCTTTTTTTTCTACAATTGTTCTATAAATATAGTCATCATTAATAATTTTGTCTTTGATAATGTTATAGTGAAAATCTCAGGACAAAAGTCAGGACAACCCTTTTCGACAAATGAGCCTGAATATATATATATTTTTTTCTCAGTACATGCCTGTGTTTTTCTTTGTCTACCACAATATCTATACATTTTATGTTTCGTTAGCAGTTCGGTCAAGACGCAGAGAACCTTCATTATGCTGCTTTAAGGCAACACAACGGCAACAGATCAAGAAGAGAGGGGGAAAACACCCAGTCCGAATGTGTGTACTCCAGTGTAAGGCAGTAATGCTGCAATTGTTTCTGTGCTATGTTTCTGTATACAAATATATTTGTTAAAATAATCATTTAAATTTCACCAAATTCAATAAATCTAAATAAATGTAGTCTTCTTAGAAATCCTGTTGAAACTGGTGGCCAGAAATACACAGACACACAGAAGTGCTGTGGCAGGGGATTCAGGCAAGAGGGCGGGTGGGGGGGTTACCGTGGTCGGTTTGTTGCTAATGCCATACGAGCCACAAAATACAAGATGACGTCAACACATAGATACATTTTTGGATCTCATCTGTAGATCCTATGAAAATCTTTACTGATGGTTCAAAGGGTTATGGACAGGAAATAAGACTTATCTTGACTTGACTAGGTCCAACACAGGGAACCGTTAAATACATCACTCTTTTTTGTTGTTATTTTTTAGGAAAGATGTCCAAATTCAGTAAGTGATCTCCACCTTTAGCCACTCTCAATCCTACTTCTGCTAGTCCATGCTCTTTTGTTTGTTTTCCCCCTTCAATCAGCTCCCAGGTGTGTCCCATTTATCCCCTTCCCCAACTCCATTTCCTGTTTGGGTTGAAAATGGCTATTTCCTGATATGTTTCTTATACACATCTACACAGGCCGCATGAAGGATGACATTGTACTTGTGCATTACACAAACAGTTCCAAAGAAAATAGATTTCTTTAATTTTGGATTTTTTATTTGTGTGTGTTTTGGGGTTCTTGGATGTATTGTGCTGTCAACCTAGTTATCTGAAATGTTGAAGCAATCGTATTGACTGTTGTTTTTTCTCTTCTTTCCTTTCTTAATTTATTTATTTTTTGTCAAATGAGTGTAATTACCGTTATTTTATTTTAGTATTGTTTTATTGTATTTTACTTTTTTGTGAGATGGGAATGTCAACTCCCCTCCATTGTTGTTGTATCATGGTTTGTGTCTCCTGCCTGTACTAAATAAATAAATGTAAAATAATAATTGAATTAAAAAGTGCCTATAAATGCCAATAATTAAAATGTGTTGTGTGTTATTATGTACATTCCCGGAAAAATAAATACAATTAATCATGTTTTTGTGAATATAATTTGTGCTGTGTTCCATCTTTGACTCATCACAGAAAACAGGCCACACTTCTTTTCCCTTTCTATAATAGATTGTGTGGTTGTCAGTACCTTCCTATACATGTATATTCTATTCTGTTTTGCGCATTGTGGTGCCTATTTACATTTTACGATCATGTGCTCACTCTGTGTGGGGGGCCTTAAGCAGGATGTCCTCGTTTTGTTTCAAGGAACTTACCAAGACTTACACTCTGTGGATGACAGGAACCTATTTCTCTGATCACACTATGTGTTCAGAAGCAGAAGTTCATTGCATATTTTGTGTGTGTATTTATTTTTAACCACACACACAAATCAGAGCTTAGGTAATGATGTGGTTAGGAAAACCTGAACAAAGTTTATGGGTCAATTAGAAAATAGAGTCACACTTTTCTCACATTCCTTTGATAGTTAGCTTTTTTATTGATGTTAAAAAAGTTGCTTTTCTTAATAAAAGAATAATACAACCAACACAAAACACACATTTTTTGGAACGATAACTTAAGTGTTACAGAGATTCTGAGCAAAGTCAACTCTGCATTAAAGTTGAATCTGCATTAAAGACTTCACCCAAGCTTACTGATGTAAACTAATAAACAAATAGTTACAAAGAAGAAGATTAAACCAATTCTGATGATGGAAAGCCAGACTAAGATTCTCATCTGTTCCATATGGTCTTCGACATCAGCTTGTACGAGAACTTTGCTTCCATTTCCGAACAGCACCTCCCCACAGGAGGCCACAGCACAGTAGTAAGTTCCAGCATCACTGGAGCTCAGGTTGGTCTTCTGCAAATGGTACACGCAGCCCTGTGAAGAGTTCCCCGCTGTGGAGACGTGGTTACTCTTGTTCTCATGCACATAAAGAATACCTTGGCCAGTTTCTTGTCTGAACCAGTTAACACTGTGTTCTTCTTCACACGACCCAGTGTGTACGGTACAGTTGAGAGTCACAGAGCCTCCTGCCTTGATGGTCTCAGATACTGGCCCCTGGACTACTTTCTTGTGGTTGGTTCCTACAATCAGCAGACAACAAGTATTTCATTTTTGGAATGTTTAAAATGTACGTAGGACCTTTGTACGAGCAAAACCTTATTTTTATGAATACATTTATTTGTCTGTGATAATATATGAAAACTGATAAGCCGTTTGTCAAATTGACAGGTGTTGAATGGCTGCCTAAACTACTACAAATATTTGTTTCCATTGAAACGCATTGTCAATTATGCTTCGAGGAAAAATCATCTCCTACATTTGTTTTGTTGACATATGGCATATGTTGCCTCTGAGAAATGTTACTTTATTTCTAAATGACATCTGAACATCAATAATGAAAAAAACATGTTTAACTAAACTAAACCTAACCAAGCACCTTTGCTTTGTTTTGTTTCCATTTACAACGTTAACATTAACCATGTGTTTGAAACCACAATCGTGTTCAGGGAGAAAATATGTTTCCCCTGAAAATGTAATTGAAAATGAAATTTAGTTGTACTTTTTTTTCAGGTAATTTGTACAAAAACTGCACATATCTAGCAAATTCTGCTTTCATGTTAGGTAAAAGCTAATACAACAAAAGGCACATTACCTTTAACACTTAGAAAGACCCCCACTCCAAATTCCACTATGTTGGAGTGCGAGCTTCCGCAGAAGTATGTAGCTGAATCTGAGAATTGGGCATCAACGATGTCTAAATTATTCATCCCTTCCTCCCTTTTCACAGAGAAACGAGGGTTCTTCTCCATCCAGGTGAAGACTTTGGATTGTTTTTCATGCTTGTAAACATTAGACAGGAGCTCAGGTCTGCCTCCTAAGGTTTGTCTGTACCAGGAGAAGTGCATGGCCACTTGGCTGTTGTAGAAGCAATGCAAAGTCACACTGTCCCCAACATTGACGGATATAACCCCAATGTCCTGTGTGACTGCTGCCGACTGGATCACTGCCGACAGAACTAGGTCAAAAACAGATAATGGTATACAACATAAGCTCATGTTCAATCAAACAATTTAAAGTAGAATCACAGATAAAATACATTTTATAAAAGGGACTTACACACTCCACAGAGGACCATATACAGGTTCATCGTCTCAGAGGTCTCAATAACTGAACGTTTTTGAGCAAAAGAGCAGACACAAGCCAAAAAAGGAGGTTACATTTGATTGGTTGGGAATAAGGTCAAACTTTGTAACACCTAAAACATCCATTTTGGCCCGAATAACACAAAAAGGACATCGCATTAACCGTCAAGTTTGGCCATCACAGTATTTGTTATACAAATGTAGCAGTAAATAATTAATATATTTTTTTCTGCAATGTGGAATTGTGGGTTTCTCATGAACGCGGAACATTTAAACCATAAACAATGGACATTACGCGTGCTTGACAGTTCATACGAGATAAAACAAAATTATTGCTCTGTCACATTTAGTTTGGCCTGTAACTACTTTTGAAGACATATTTAATGATATTGAGAGTAATGTAGGTCATTTAATTTGTTTTGGGAAATTATAGCTTGAACTTGCTCTGCAGGTTTATTTAAAAGAATTCACAATTATTACCCACGTTTTGTAACGAAATTTAACATCACTCCACATAGAAATAGCCCTTTTTTAGAAGATCAATTTGAATACAACTTCTTTCGTCAAACTCTACTGGTAAGACCAGTAATTTGCAGTCTATCACATTTTACTGATAAAACACATTTTTGAATAGAAGTGGACATAAAATGACCCCATGACCAGGGTTAATGGAAACATTTTTTGGTACTTCATGCAAGGTTGATAACACATACTCAATCAGTGGGATATAAATTGTTCTAGTGAAGGCAACTCTGTAAACCAGAGATCTGTAGTGCCTCCTTGAGGAGACAAGATGAATTGAAGTTGTTTGCAGGAGTCAACTTGTTGCTCAATAAGGGAGGGAGAATGGCAAAAAAGATAAGCTGTGGGTGCTGTCTGTGGCTGTTTTTTTTACGAATGCGGTCAGCATCTCACTCTGTTGAATCCAAAACCAAGTGACAGATACAACACAGAGTTTGGGGCAATAGCTCCATCGTGCTGACCACTGGTGTCCCCCTAGGTCTACATGGATATGCTCAGTCCACTGCTATTCACACTTTTAAAGTTTTGTATTGGCACACTTGTGGTACTTGTTAACATGTTATCTCTTTGCGTCTATACTACTGGCCTTACGGTAGTCTAGGTTGCCTTCTTGAAGCTGTGAAACGCATGCGCAGTTAGTCTGTGTGGACGAGGAGCCGGAGGTCCTCTGTTCGTTAATGGTGCTGTATTGGTGTTGTGCACGTGGATTGAATAAACCAAGTTAACAGAAGATAAACGTCGTGTTTATTTGCAGTAGACTAACAGTACTGACGGGAAAAGATGGGCCATTGACTGCAGGATGGGTCGGATTACTTTGTGTTCTGTGCACCTAAACTGCATAGTTTATTAAGAACATCAAACTTGCATGTAACCTATACATGTCTGACCGTCTGAGCTGCCATGTGAGATTGTGCCAGATAAAGTGAGGATATATTTTATAAAGGCTCTATAAAACGTACATATTTACTTACGCCGTCTGAAATTTGAGGGATGCTGTGTCTGAAATTGCATCTGGGAAAGATATCAGAGGTGAAAGATTTGAGCTTCCTTGCATGAACCTTTTATTCCCCCACCCCCTTTACAGTACGTAAATATAGAGTGCCCATGCAGTGATACGGTCATACGCACAATGGAAAGCTTCACCTTAATAGCAGCTGTGCTTCTTTGCAGCCTCAGTAAGTATAGACATGTAATTAATGTCAACTTAATGGCTAGTTTTATAATTGTACATCCAACCCATAACGTGTTTCCGTGTCAAATACGTAACTTTTATGAAGAGATATTGTAAACCTTCATGTGGTTTTATAACAACTATATATTTTGTTGTGTCTGCTCTGTGTTTCAGGCTGGATCTCTGCCTCGTCTAATCGGACTGTCCAGCCCGGTGAAGAAGTCACTCTGCTCTGCCCCAACATCTACGGGGCTGGTGGCGAAGCTTCATACTGTGATGGATATCAACATGAAACATTTGAAATGAGTTCCAACTTGACCACTGTCTTTCTTAAAATCAAGCAAGTGGATATATCTGACTCTGGACTGTACTTCTGTGGATTTTACAAAGGCGCAGGTACAGTCATTTCCAGTGCAATCCAGCTAAATGTTGAAGGTAAGATTGTAATTGAGTCATACCGCTTTCAGAGATGTATTTTTCTCATTTTAATTATAGTATCATTGAAATGTATTATAAGAAAATAAAAACCATAAAAGTAAATAATTAAGAAATACAATGTGATTTGGAGACTAAAAGAAGCCTTTTGTTTTTATGGTCATATAATCTATTGAGTTTTTTGATATAGTATAACTTGAATTGTACGCAGTGGTGTGAAAGAAGCATAACAAACATGGATTCATGTATCCCCATTTTGTATAGATTATTTTGATTCCTATGATTACAGTATTTTCAGTAAGACTCTTCCAAAAAATGTTAACTGTGCAAGCTTGTTACAATTACAACCCATTTACACTTGTTATATTAACACTGTTAAAAGCACAAGTACAGTCATTTCCAGTGCAATCCAGCTAAACGTTGAAGGTAAGATTGTGATGAACTCCCACCTCTTTAAGAAATAAATTGTTCTTATAGTATTTACATTATATCTCAAATGTAGTGGAAAACAGCACTAAGACAAATAAGTGTACAAAAAGATGAATGCCCATTTTTTTCTTGAAAGGTAACGGTGAATCTGATTATAATGAACATGATTTCGAGACCAAAAGTAAGGTTCTCCTCTTTTGTTTGCAATTTCCAAACAGCCAGTAATTACAATTTATTTGTAACCATATCGTAAGCAACAGGATTAAATTACAGAGTTTAATTATATTCTTTTCTTGTAGAGGAGCCTGATGAAATGACATACCTGATGAGCTTAATTCTGGGATGCTTGGCTTTTTTGCTCACTATAGTCATCATTGTTCTGGCTGTTAAAATAAGGAAGCTTCAGAGAGGTACAGTGGATTTAATTTTGTTGCACAGCACATTATGGAAAAAGTATATAATTAGTTTCAATTAACTAAAACACACTTGTTTCTTTTTTTATTTATTTAGATGCAAACGAAGAATCTCAGACCAAAAGACCCCAGGTAAACCCAATATTAATGTATGCTAACAGTGTGTTATGGTTTTAAAATGCATTTTAACAACTTTAATAATCTGCTATTTGTTTGGTCATGTTGCAGCTTGCATCAAACTTATTCAAGCAGGCATAAAGGCAGTCATAATAGTTTTCTGAAACAGAAAATGTATTCTAGTTCAGGCTCAGTACCTTGAAGGTAACTGCATTTTCTTTAGCAAAATGTGTGATCTATTTATTCTCCCTGTGAAACATGTAAAACCTTAATAAACTTAACCACAATAATTGTTGTCAAGACAGAGATGTGTATGAAATGTTGTCACTTTGCCGTTCCACTGCGTACATTTACAACAGTAATTGTTTTTTTTGTCACTGTAAGGTTGAACAATGTATGTACTGTTAATTAATTTGCTTTTTTCCTTCGATGTGGCCTATTGATGTACCTCGGTTTCAATATAAAAATTAAAAAATTATTTTATATTAAATTCAATCAAATTAAACTCAGATTCTTTTAAAAGTCATACTTGGTGTTAAATAAATTATGGTTAACACTAACTTGTGTTAGTGTTATTCCTTTGTGGGACAGCGAGCAAAACAACACATTTTACGGATTTCTGCAAACAGCAAGTGACTCTGAATACTTTATTTTACAGAATATGTGCTCGGATGAACTGAACTACGTGGCTCTGAGTTTCCAGGCGAAGCCAAAAAGGAGCCGCAGGCCTGCTTCTGAGCGAGAGCTTGAGCCAAATGTAGTGTATGCTGCCACCAGATAGAAGAAGGAAACGGTCGGAAATGCAGCTCAGAGTGGAAAAAATGCTTTGTCATGATAAACTTCTCATGTAGCCTCATGTGTGGGAGAATTAACTGGCAAAAAATAAATGTTAAATATATTTTCCCTATTTTCCTACTCAGGTTTCTTGTTTTTTTTCATGTAAGACCACAAAGAGCGTGTTAATGTGTGATGGAGGAAGAGGCGTAGAACTGTCAGACCAACTTAAGGGAAATGTTTTGCGGAGGGAGGAGTCAGTGACGTATGTTGGCAGGAAGAGACAGCACAGTGTGGTCTGACAACAACTGAGTTGAAAATTGTCGGGTCAAAGCAAAAGGAAGTGGTGAAAAGCTGCTTACTTGTTCATGACAAACTTAGCTAGCTGCTGTATTTAGACTTTTTTTTAGGAAATGGAGGAAAAATTCCAGAACAAGACTAATTCTGCCTTAAAACATGTAGATCAATCTCTTCTGACATTGTAAAATCTCTCCACACCCCATGACTAAAGTGTATTTACTATGGAGCAGGGAAGTAAGCTAAATAAGTAGCTTCTTCTCAATCAAAGGCAACAACAGTATCAAAAGGAGAGTGTTGATATTAAACAAGACTTCAGTCATGAAGCCATGCTAGCAGCTCTACATCAGAATGCTAAGATGTTTAACGTGTCACTCATAGGGGACATTTCATTTCAATGTAATCCATTAAAAGTTTCCTAGACATCTCACTGATGAAATACAAAGGTCATTCTCACTGTAGTGTTGGATCTAGTCAATAGGATTCATTCTCTGGGGACCATGAATATCTGTATAAAATATATAGTAATCCTTTTAATATTTAGAGAGATATTTCAGTGTCCACCAATTGGTTTTCCATTGAAATGTAGCTCTTTTCATTCAAAATTGCAAATAAATGAGAATACCTGTATGTGATTATTAGGGGTTGGGGGCATGGAGATAAATATTGTTGATGCAAACAATTATTTCAGACAGGTTATTAAGTTGCAATGAAACGCGTCCAATGTACGTCTTTCCAGAGATGACAGGCGGTGATTTCAACCAACTGAACACCCCTCTGCTGTCCCCTATCTTGCTACAGTAAGCGTGTTGGAGACCTACACTGGTTGGTAACAAATGTGTAAGCCCTCTCTAAAGCAAGTGTTTAGTTTGCCTGTTATAGGCTACTGTAGAAACATAAATGCAGTGCACAAACCCTTGGTATATACAGTATATAATCATAGGACACATGATGCCACTAAATAAACCAAAAAACTGCATTCACAGATCGCCTTATCAAGTATAAAATAATATACACAAAAGGTCTGTGCTTTGTTTTCTTATCATAATCCATGTCAATTAGACTGTTATGGATTAGGTTAGGATGTTTTGAATGACGACTGCAGGAGAGAACTTGTACTAAGGCGTGTCATAGCATTGGCAGGTCTGTTTCAACAAAAGACACCCCGCCTCTCTTTTTCCCTTTGCATAGTAGGGTGGTGAATACTCTTTCACTAACAATGACAATGAGGAGCTTCACCTTCATTATTATTTTTCTTCTCTGCAGCTTCAGTAAGTACTAGCATTTTATTGTTCTCAGCTTCAAATCATGTAACCTGCAATTTAAGCATGCAAAAATACAACTGAAGTTCTGAACTGATTGTTGTTGTTGCTTTATTACTGATGGCTTATTGGGGTAAATGTCGTTGTCTCTACTGTTTCAGTCTGGATCTCTGTCTCTGTTACTCCAACCGTGAAGGTGCAGCCTGGTGAAGCCACTCTGCTCTGCCCCAACATATCCATCGATCCAACTCAGACCGACTGGTTCAGAGAGATCAACAGAGCCAAGACAAACTGTGTCTCTTCTATCTACTGGGATGGTGGCGAAGCTTCATACTGTGATGGGTTTCAATATGGAAGATTTGAAATGAGTTCCAACTTGACCACTGTCTTTCATAAATAAAGTAAGTGGATATATCTGACTGGAATGTACTTTTGCGGATTTCACATAGGCGCAGACACAGTGATTTCCTGTGCAATCCAACTAAATGTTGAAGGTACGATTGTACAGTAATTGAGTCATACCGCTTTCAGTCTTTTTAGGGCCTGAGCACGGAGCGCTAGGGCCCGACGGCGTCCTAGCACGAAGTGCGAGGAACCTATTGTTATTGGTGGTATTATTATTATAGTGCTGGCGTTTCCTCTTTTTGAGGTCTTTAGGATGCTTCAAAAGTTGTATAATTTTGCACGGACGCCAGGACCGGTGAAAAATTCAATATTCTGGAGTCAATGGGTTAAATATTCCAACCTGCTCACTAGCGCCACCTATCAAAATCCCATTTCGGAATACATTTACAAAGTCGCACCGTAACTCCGAATGACCTGACATTTTGCACACATATCCGGGTGGACCTGCTCTACAAATAATCCTCTTGGAACCCTAAGCTCCGCCTACATGTTTTATTTAAATTAGCATAATGTTCAAAACAGTTAAATATTCATTTAAATTTAAATTTTCAGTTTTTGAACACCAAACTTCGTATACAGTATCGGTGGAGGGTCAGACACATTACCGTAGAAAATGAGCATGTTAGGACGATAAATATTGCCGCCGTCAATCAAAACGTACTCGCAAAAAGGCGGGGCTTAGAAATGCTCATATTTTGGTGGATAGGTTCAGTCTGTCTTGGGGAATAGGCACAACAAAGTATTTTCATTTTGGACGATAGGGGGCGCCAAAAACACCACCAATTTATAACTCAAGAACGGATGGACGAATGTTTTTTTTTTTTTTTACACATACTCTGGGGGTGACTACGAACTGAGATTTAAAGTGTCGCAACAAATGCAGAATGTGGGCGTGGCCTATAATTCTTTTTTAAATTGCGATAGCATAAAATGAGCTTCGGACGCAAAACTTGGAAGACACGTCACAGCCCACGACCTTTTCGAGAATGTAAAAAAAAACGTAATTTTTCAAAAAACTGCTCACTAGCGCCCCCTATTGTGTGGTATTCACATATAGTTTCTCAGAACTTCACGAATTTTGGCACAGACATTCCTCATGGAATTGTGGACATATTTGTAAACAGATTCCATTAGCCCCGCCCCCCAGGAAGTCGGCCATTTTGAAAAATGTGCGTTTTTCAGCCATTTTAAGCACATTCTTGCGAACTCCTCCTAGGGGAATGATCGGAAAAATTCCAATCCAGGACACCTTCAGCCCCTATCCAATATGATGCCAAATTGAGAAGAACATTTTTGATAGCTCAATCGTGGAGGTCGCAAGCTAACAGCGAATACAGCATTTTTGACGATTTACATGTCGCAAATTACTCCAAACTACTCGCATATAGTTTTTCTGATGTTCACGAAACGCTGTATACAAATTGCTCTTATGATTGCGGACATATTTCAAATTGCCTTCCATTAGCCCCGCCCCAGAGAAAGTTGGCCATTTTGAAAAATGTGCGTTTTTCATGCATTTTAAGGACATTTCTGCGGACTCCTCCTAGGGGAATGATCGTAAAAATTCCAATCCCGGACAAGTTCAGCCCATTTCCAATGTGATGCTAAATTGCTAAGGAATAATTGATTGCTCAAACGATGAGCTCGTAAGCGAACAGAGAATGTTCCATTTTTGACGATTTACATGTCACAAACTACTCGCATATAGTTTTTCCGATATTCACAAAACGCTGTATACACATTGCTATTATAATTGCACACGTATTTCAAATTGCTTTTCATTAGCCACGCCCCCCAGAAAGTCGGCCATTTTGAAAAATGTGCGTTTTTCAGCCATTTTAAGGACATTTTTGCAAACTCCTCCTCGGGGTATGATCGGAAAAATTCCAATCCAGGACAAATTCAAACCCTATCCAATATGATGCTAAATTGCGAAGAAAATAGTGGCTAGCTCAAACGGGAGCTCGTAAGCTAACAGAGAATGTACCATTTTTGACGATTTACATGTCACAAATTAATCCAAACTACTACATTTCCATTTTTCCCGATATTCACAAAACGCCTGTATAACCACATTGCTATCATAATTGCACACTATTTCAAATTGCTTTCATTAGCCACGACCCCCAGAAAGTCAGCCATTTGGAAAAAAAGTGCGTTTTCAGCCATTTTTAAGGACATTTTTGCAAACTCCTCCCCTCGGGGTATGATCGGAAAAATTCCAATCCAGGACAAATTCAACCCCTATCCAATAGAATGCTAAATTGCGAAGAAAATAGTTGCTAGCTGCAAAACGGCGAGCTCGTAAGCTAACGGAGAATGTACCATTTTTGACATTTATATGTCAGATAACCAACTGACACCTGCTGTCTGGAAACCTGCAAACACACACTCACAACACACACCATACACACAAACACACACATCACGCCCTTGAACACACAGCACAACACTCACACACAGCATATGTCACACACACACACATACACTTACACTTGGTGAGTTCCCTGGAACACCAGGGACACATATTCATGTATAAAAGACGTACAAAAGTGCATTTTGCATGATAGGTCACCTTTAAGCTATCCAAAAAAGTCAGTAAATGTTCTTTTTTTTTAAAAACACTACATTTACATAGTCAAAAGGTCCTTTTGTTCAGCCTCACAATGCTATTTGGTAGTAAATGTGTTTATAGGTCCTGCCCTCTGGCCATACACTCACACAACCAGGGGCGTCGCCAGGGATTTTGGGCCCCATGAAAATATATCACATTGGGCCCCACCACCAGGCACAGGCCACGCCAACCAAGCACAATTGCTGTAACCACACCTCCAGAACCCAACCGACTCATTTATGCTTAAAATAACTCTACCTGTACAGGCCAAGGGTGCCGGAAGCAGGGGGGCCAGGTGGCCAGGGGGCCATTGGCCCCCCCACTTTACAGCCCTGCCCCACATTTTCACAGCAGCGGATGCCGCGGAACACTGAAAGCAGTTGTATCAACAACAAAAATAGCCTAACACCCAGGGGAGATGTGATTAGTGAGTAAACAAACGGTAAAGGGTAGAAAGTCTGATGCACATTTGATCATCTTAAATAACTTATAATCCCAACGGGAACAGTTTGCAGAG